GGAGGCTGAGGCAGGAGACTCACTTGAACCCGGGAGGCACAGGTTGCAGTGAACCAAGATTGAGCCACTGCACTCCAGCCTGGTGACAGAGCAAGATTCTGTCTCAAAAATGAAGTAAGAAAGAAAGAAAAAAAAGAACCATGATCCTGCAGGCTGGAGCAGAGCTAGGGTTTCCTAAGACTGCCCCCTCAGCCCAGGGGAGGAGAATATTTTCAAAAGTTTCAATGGTATAAGTAGAGACACACACACTTTTAGAAACTTCTGCCAACTCCTCTCCTTCTGCCCACTGATGTAGCCTCCCCCACACTCCCAAAACTACCTTAGTCATGATTGTGTCTGATCCTGCAGAAGCTACTTTCGTTGGTTTTTTGTTTTGTTTTGTTTCTTGAGATGGAGTCACGCTCTGTCGCCAAGCCTGGAGTACAGTGGCTTGATCTCAGCTCACTGCAACCCTTGCCTCCTGGGTTCAAGTGATTGTCCTGCCTCAGTCTCCTGAGTAGCTGGACTACAGGTCCCGGCCACCACATCTGGCTAATTTTTGTATTTTTTAGTAGAGATGGAGTTTCACCATGTTGGCCAGACCAGTCTCAAACTCCTGACCTCAGGTGATCGCTGCCTACTTCAGCCCCTCAAAGTGCTGGGATTACAGGAGTGAGCCACCTCACCAGGCACTACTTTCATCTGTCAGCTCATTTAATCCTTGCACACCCTGGGAGGGAGGCACTTAGTGAGGAACGGTCTCCGAGAGGGTTCGTGATTTACCTAAAATCACACAACTCACAGAAGCAAGAGTCAAACCTTGCGCTAGCATTTAAGCCTCATGAGGGCAGGGTTCCCTTTTCTCTGCTGTATGCTTTGTGCCTAGATTAATTGATGGATTTTTTTTTTTTTTTTTGAGACAGCCTCACTCTGTCGCCCAGGATGGAATTCATGGCTCACTGCGGCCTCAGCCTCCTGAGCTCAAGCAATCCTCCCACATTAGTCTCCCACGTAACTGGGATCACAGACACACACCATAATGCTCAACTAATTTTTAAAAATTTTTTGCAGAGATAGGGTCTCACTATGTTGCCCAGGCTGGTCTTGAACTCCTGGGCTTAAGCAATCCTCCCACTTCAGCCTCCCAAAGTGCTGGGATTACAGGCATGAGCCGCCACGCTCCAGCCCCTCATGCCTAGAGCAGTGACTGGCACATAGCAATCACTCAAGAGCGTGTTTCAAATGAATGAATAAACTCCAGGTATAACTGGCTTCAAAATCTTACCTTTTCTACAATAGATAGCATCCTGCATCCCACGCTGTCACAGCTTCCCCTGGCTCTCAGCCCCCAGGGATCAATTCCCCTACTTGTGGGTCTTTCCTGTAGCTGCCTAAACATTTATTGTGTGTCCAAAGTGGGGTGGGAGAACTGTGGTGGTGGTGGTGGTAATAGAGACTTTGGCAAGATGGAATCCCAGGAGAAAGCTCAGTCCATGCCGGGCGAGGTGGCTCAAGCGTGTAATCCCAGCACTTTGGGAGGCCGAGGCGGGTGGATCACGAGGTCAAGAGATTGAGACCATCCTGGTCAACATGGTGAAACTAAAAATACAAAAAATTAGCTGGGCATGGTGGCACAGCCTGTAATCCCAGCTACTCAGGAGGCTGAGGCAGGAGAATTGCCTGAACCCAGGAGGCAGAGGTTGCGGTGAGCCGAGATTGCGCCATTGCACTCCAGCCTGGGTAACAAGAGCAAAACTCCGTCTCAAAAAAAAAAAAGCTCAGTCCAGGAGGAAACAGCTCTGATATCCCTTTACCTTGACCTTTGAATTCCTTGGAGGTCCTACACTTGAGAGAACTGGAAGCTCTCTTTCTTACCGGGTGTTTTACACAGCGACTACCCCACCACCCCCGCCTCCTACACACTATGCTTTGGGGTTTGTTGTGGTTGTTGTTGTTTTGTTGTTGAGGTGGAGTCTCACTGTCACCCAGGCTGGACTGCAGTGGCACAATCTCGGCTCACTACAACTTCTACCTCCCGGGGGGTTCCAACGATTCTCCTGCCCCAGCCTCCCAAATAGCTGGGAATACAGGCGCGCACCACCACGCCCGGCTAATTTTTGTATTTTTAGTAGAGACTGGGTTTCACCATGCTGGCCAGGCTGAAATTTTGCTGTTAGATGGGGGACAATGATAGATTAGGAAGTGATGGAAGTGAATGGAGAAGGGCCTGTTTGGCAGGAATACTAATTTCTTGGGCTGGGGTGTGTGTGTGTGTGTTGGGTGGAAGTGGGGTCTGGGAGATCCCAGATGGTGATGCTAAGAAGGGTTAACAGTCATTTCTCTGGTCTCAAACCCCCGACCTCAAGTGATCCGCCTGCTTCGGCCTCCCAAAGTGCTGGGGTGACAGGCCTGAGCCCCCGCGCCCGGACTGTTTTTTGGTTGGTTGGTTGGTTGTTTTTATATATCATGTTTTATAAGGAATATTAAGGAATCCCTTTGGTCCCTACTTTGCAAAGAAAACCTCCATCTTCTTGAAGGTTTAGACTCCTCTGTGTTATTAAGTAAAAGCTTTCCTCTTCTAAGAGGGAGGTCAGCCCTGCCACTGGTGCTCCACCACCATTCAGAGGCAGCTGGTACCACGATCCTCCAAAAGCACTGGCAAAGCTGGATGAGCTCTAAGACTTGTCATCACAGGGATACCCCAGCTTCCCCAGAATTAACAGTCCCTCCCTGGCGGGTAGAGGAGGTTCCCTGGTATGTACGGTTTTGTGTGTATGTGTCAGTGTGCGTGTGTGTCTGTAACGAACCTTGGGCTCCTCTGTTGCCCGGCAACATGACTCTATTTTGTTCCTATTATGCCTGTTTCCATAGTAACCACAAAGGGGAGCTCTGTGGGCAGGCCCCTGGCCAGGGGATTCCCCTTACCCTCTCTTCTCTCCACAGTCTCCTTTTCTGAAATCAGCATGTTACAAGGAAGACAAAAAGTTGACTGCTCAAAGGGTAATCTCAGTTTCTGATCTGAGAAGGGAAATGAGCTGTGCAGTCTGTTTGCAGTCTCTTTAGAAGCAGACCTTTCCCCCCAGCGAAGGTCCTTTTGCATGATATCCTCAGAAGCAGACAAATAGGCTGGGCATGGTGGCTCACACCTGCAATTCCAGCACTTTGTGAGGCCAAGGCAGGTGGATAACTTAAGGTCAGGAGTTCGAGACCAGCCTAACCAACATGGTAAAACACCCTCTCTACTAAAAATACAAAATTAGCCAGACATGGTGGTGCACGCCTGTAATCCCAGCTACTCAAGAGGCTGAGGCAGGAGAATCGCTTGAACCCAGGAGGCAGAGGTAACAGCGAGCTGAGATCACACCACTGCACTTCAGCCTCAGCAAGAAGATCGAAAGTCAAGTCTCCAAAAAAAAAGGCAGGCAGAGAAATGACTGTTAACCCTTCTTAGCATCACCATCTGGGATCTCCCAGACCCCACTTCCACACACACACACACACACACACACACCCCAGCCCAAGAAATTAGTATTCCTGCCGAACAGGCCCTTCTCCATTCACTTCCATCACTTCCTAATCTATCATTGTCCCCCATCTAACAGCAAATCTATCTGGCGATTCTGGAATCTAAACATTATTTCCTAAGCAAGTCTCAAGCCCCAAACCCCTAACCCTACCCCAAAATATAAAGCCAAGTAAAATCAGCCTTTCCCAGCTCAATTCAAACTCCACCCTGGATTTAAACTTCAAGCTTCAAATAAGGAGTTCCTGAATTTCTTAGATCAGAGAGCCCTGATACACAGAGACTCTCAATTACACTCAGACCTAATGAGATCTTCAAGCCCAAGCAGAACCCAAGTGAAAGCTGGTTAGAGAATAAAAGACATGAGGCTGTTTCCAGAGTACCGTCTGGGAGGAAAGAAGGCAAAGACTGTCCAGGCAGGTGGGAGGGACAGGAATTGGGCAGTGAGAGTGGGGCAGGTGGACACATGGGCCATGTCTGGATTCAGGCAGAGATTAGGGGTGTGGAGATGCTGTAGGACAATAATAGGAGATGCGGACCCGAGATTAAGGAAAAGAAGCACAAAATGTGATTTTGTGAGGCTGTGAAGGAAGGAGGGAGGGAGAGAGAGAAAACAGAAGAGCTCAGCACTGAGCTAAGGACTGGGCAGGCTGAGTTGTAAACAGGAGCCGAGGGAGGGAGCTGGAGTAAACGGAGCAGCCAACGCCCCAGCCAGCTCCCCTCCCCAGCGGGGAGCAGGGAGGGAGGGGCTGAGAAAGGAGGGAACACCACTTCCTCGCCCCTTTCTTGGAATCTGCTTTTCTCCTGTCCTTTCCAACTTCCTCTGCCTTTCCCCAGCTTCCTGGGGAAAGAGACCAGCCTGGGTTTCCCTCTCTCCTCTGCTTACAGTTCCCTAAGTCCAGTTGAAGGAGATCAGGCTGAGCAGGGAAGGGCCTAGGCTGCCCAGAGCCTGAGTCACCACATAGTTGAGGTTCCTGTCACTCGAAGTCCCGCCTCTGCTACACTCCGTGCCCTGTGCCCGCCCCAGGACTTGGATCGCTACATCTGACCCTGGCCCCAGGGTTGGCTCCACTTCCACACTCCTTACCAAGCTACCCTTACAGAGCTCTGGCTGCCGGAAGCCTTTAGATGCCTTGCTCTCCCTGCCCCTCCACACGTGGCGTGCTGCGCCCACCACCCTCAGCCCTTAATGTTTGAGGGAAGCATCCTCCTGCTCAGCTTTGAAGCAAAAGGGATTCAGTGAGTGACTGCAAGGACCGTGGAAAGGCTGGGATGCACCCTGGATAAGTCACTTCCCTCTCTGGGCTCCAGTTTCCCCACTGGTAAAATAAAGTATTAGAGATGGTCTCTGGCAGTCCCCGGAAGAGGTACGTTCTGTTAAGTCTGAGTCAAAGAGACAGATAGTTACTACTGAAGAGTGGGATAAAACAGGCATTTGCTAGCCCCTGTCATAACAGTAGGAGTGGGTGGGGTGGGGCGGGGCAGGGCAGGGCACAGGACCTGCCACCATAGGGCAGCCAACACCCTAGGCATCTTGGTGACTCAGGTCCCACATGGAGGACTAGCCGGAAAGCACCCTGTGGGTCCCCTGTGAGTCAGGGGAAATGCTGATTCCCTGAAGGATGACTGGCTGCGTTCCCACTATAACCAACTCTCCTTCCACCTTGAAAATCTCCCAGGATGGGTACAGTAAGCTCATTCCACGTCCCTGGCCTGCTCAGCAGCTTCCACCCCTCCAGCCTGACCTTGGCAGCCCTCCTTCCCTCAGCCCTCAACTCGAGCCCTCCTTACCCTGACAGCTCCTCATGCCCTACCATGTTCCCTCCTTTACCCCTTGGCACTGTCTACCCCTGCCATCCACGCCATCCCAGCAGAGCCCGCCAGATGATTGCAAAAGGGCTGAGCCAGCAGAGAGGCCTTCACAAGACTGCTGTTCCTGCTGCAGAGGGGAGGGGGCAGCTGGGAGTGGAGGCACATTCCATGGGAGATCCTATCAGAAATAGCCCCAAACCCTAAGTGACCATCTAGCCCCTGATCTGCACGTTGCCCATTGTGTTCAAAGGTAGAGTCAATAGACTCGTCTCAAATTCCTGAAGAAATCCAGAAAACAAAGCGGGGTGGTGGAGAAGAGAGGGGCCTAAGGGAGTGAAGAGAGCCCAGCAAAGTGAAGAGATGGGGTCTCCAGGACATCACCACTGAGCCAGTACCACCAGCGCAAGGTATTCTCCCTCTAATGGATGATTCAAGTGACAGAAGTGCTGCCCTCAGCAACCCCCACCTTACCCCACCCCACCCATCCCTTGGGTGCTGAGGCACTGGGACACCCCAGTAATTCCCCTGGAGTAAAACAACAGCCTGCTCTGGGAGCCATGCCAGTCTGACGGGAGCAAACAGACAGGAGCAGGTGGCAGTTTCTCTAACCTTTCAGGAGCACCAATGTGAGCTGCACAGCACTAGAGGGAGAACTAGGTGGGAACCCCAGAATCACACTCAAACACACAGGAGCACAGCAAGAGGGGGATGTCTGTGCCCTATAGTTACACTGGCTGGGGGAGCCAGGGAAGCTACAGAAAAACTGATTTGATGTGTGTGGAGGGAAAGTTCTGAGTTGACAATAGAGTGCCGGTTGCCATGAAAACCATGGTATTAATTTCAGAAATGACTGGGTGGAGCCTCCCAAGTGCTTCATTCCTCTCCCTTCAACATTCTAGGCTTCCCCCACCTTTCAAAAGGGGAAGTGGCACATTTGGGGCATGTGGGCAGCTGGTGGGATGGGTCTGACCCATTGAGAGCAGCAGCTGTCCAGCTCCGGCTCAAAGCAGGACACAGGAAAAAAGGAAACAATATAGGTTTTTCTTGGAAGAACTTTAAAGGTTTGTAACTTTTGAATAAGTGACTTAAGCAGAAATGCCAACAAAGCTAAAATAAATAGCTGCTTATAACCAGTATCTACTGGTTTATCTACAAACTAACCAAGTCTCTCTCAGCCACTCCCATTCACACTCCAGGCTCTGTGAAGATTTTATCTGAGTCACTGAAACCCTGGGCCCCCGACCCCTTCTCATTTCTTTCATCCTCCCTCTGTGGAAGCTCTGAGGTTTTGCCCGGTTAAGTGGATAAAAGAGCCTCCTCCTTCCCTCATTCGACCCTAGCTTTCCAAGATAATGCCCTGCCCTCAGCCCCTGATCCAAACACCCCCTTCCCTTTCTGCTTCTCGCCCCTAGCCTCTGTGCCATGTGCTGGACAGTGGAGCCGGGTGGCCAGCTCTATGTGGTTTTTGGGTGACATGAGCCTCCCTAGCACCAAGAGAATACTGCCCAGCAACCACAGACATCTACAGGCACAGGCTCTGATTGGCTGCCCACAGCAAATGCAAGGAAAAGGAAGGATCCAGCAAACCATGCAGAGCCCAGCTGGGATGGGAAGCGCAAGAGTCCTTGCTGCAGTGACTCAGGCCTCCCTGGGGCAGGGCGGGGACAGAAAGAACTCCAGATGTGCTTCCCCTTTCCTGCCTCACATCTGCCGCTAGAAACTTCCACTGTTAACCTCTCCCCTACCCACCATGGCAGAGAAGCCCTCAAATCCCACCCCTATCTTGAGGCCAACGGCCTAGCCTTCCTGAGGCCACAACCCTCTCCTCTCGAGACTCCTCCTTCACCTCCTGCTTGTGGGTACTGGCCCTTGCCCAAGTGCAAGCCCAGCCTCAAACAACAACCTGGCCACCCTTACTCTGCACCACACAGCGAGGGCTGCAGGCAGGATGTGCAGATGACTCACTCTTCCTGCAGGCAGAGGGAGGCTGAGGTAGGGGTCCCTGCCCCAGCCCAGACCGCCTAGTCCATGTGGGCTGCCAGGCCCGCTGCTGTCCATGGCCCGCCCAGCAGAACCCCACCCTTTTTCAGTTGGGCTTCCCTCCTGAGCCTTTCAAGCCACCCTCTCAAACCTAAACTACTCTTCCAACTTGGTCCCTCCTGCCTGAGGCTTCAGCCACAGATTTGGTAAGCAAACACCAGGAAGGTGGTGAAGATCCCACAGCCAAAGAAGGGAGTATGATTTGAAACAGAAATTGTTAAGAGTCTGACTGCTTCAGTGAGGCCCCAGCAACAAGCTAGAAGGCACACCCTAAGCCTCCATCTAGTACTTTTTTTGAGATGAGGTCTCACTGTGTTGTCCAGGCTGGAGTGCATTGGCAATCACGGCACGCACCACAAAGGCCTCTAAATCCTGCTTTCAGCCATGCCCCACCCAAGTAGCCAGGACTACAGGAACGTGTCAACGCACCAGCTGCACCTAGCATTTTCAGATCCTAGCTAACAGGAGCCTAGAAGGCTCAGAAGAAAGGTATCAAGTTTGGACCCAGCTCAAGATGAGCTGCCAGGGAGCAGAGTCTGAGCAAGCATGAGCCCATCCCCACCCATCTGGATCCTAAACCACAACTCTTCTCTGCCCACTCCAACCGCAGGTCAAAGCGCCCAGCTGCAGATGACAGCCCTAACTCTCCCCTCTCAACTACCAGCACCCTGTGTGTGCCTGGTTTCCCCACGGAAGCCAAGAGCCCTCTTCTTTTCCTGGACTAATAACTGGAATGGAAAAAACCACACACAAAACCATAAGCTAGGGACCAAAGGCAATCAACCGTTTCTGCTTATACCTCAAAACGTGACTCAGTCTAGAGGTTTCCAATTTCACCTGAGCTGTTAATTTACAGGAAGATCCTCAATGATCTTCGGAAAAGACAGAGGAGCAAGAAACTCTGAAAAGGATGTAATAAAAATTAAACTCAACAGGGAAAAAATAGTAACCATTAGCCTGAACAGGATTATTAGCTGACAATTCCAACTACTCTACCTTCTAGGAGGCAGCAGGGTGTGGACACAGGCCTCAAGAGTGACACCTGAGCCAGGCATGCCGGCATTCACCTACAGTCCCAGCTACTAAGAAGGCTGAGGCAGATCACTTGTGGCCAGGACTTCAGAACTATAGCATGATTGAGCCTGTGTACAGCCAGCCACTGCACTCTAGCCTAAGCAACATAGAGCCAGTTCTACAAAAAATAATAATAAAAAAGTGACACCCAGTGGGTTCAAAACTCTGCCGCCACCACTTAAAATGTGTGATCACAGGCAAGTTAGTGAAATCTCTAAACCCCTATGCTTCCCGTTAGAAACCAGGGACACCACCAGCAGGTAACACAGCCAGGAAAGGGAAAACGGGCCAGGCCTGTGTCTGCTGAGTAGTCTGTGCCTGATACTGAAGATTTGCGGCATTGGAACGATAACCCTAGGGCAGGCATGGTGGTGCATGCCTGTAATCCCAGCACTTGCCAGAGTAAGGTGGGACGACTGCTGGAGCTGAGGTGCTTGAGACCAGCCTGGGCAACATGGTGAAACCCCATCTCTACAAAAAAATACAAAAACTAGCCGGGCACGGCAGTGCATACCTATAGTACCAGCTACTCAGAAGGCTGAGGTATATGGATGGCTTGAGCCTGGGAGATGGAGGTTGAGCTGAGATTGCACCACTGCCCTACTGCCTGGGCAACAGAATCAGACCTCGTCTCAAGACAAAAAACCTACAACCCTTACATATTATCAGCTACCTACCTCACAGGCCAGTTACCAGAAATCATGTAAAGTTCCTCTGCACTCTGTGAATTATACATGTTAGCTCTTGTTACTAGCAGCTATTCTCTCCCTTCACTGGGAAAGGTCTGGAATCCAATCCCTAAGTATTAGGTAGCCACAAAGCCCCATGTCACTACCCGCCCCAACTGCTTCCGCTCTTTCCCAGCTAGAAGACACTCATCGTCGTAGGAGGCAGGGTAATTAAAATCACAAGTGAACACAGGCCTCTATTTCTGTTCTTCTGAAGTCTTCTCTCCTGCATATCGAGGTACTGCAGACACAGAAAATACCCTACTTCAACATGTGTACTCCCAGGGAGGAAGCAACCACTCACAAAGAGGCAGGACAGGAGAGGGCTCAATGTTCAGTTTCCTTTAATGACCCCCATCTCCCTGAAGGACAGGTGCAGGCAGCAAGGCGATGGCAAGAGATGTTCACTTGAAGATCTTGCCCTGATTGAAGGCTTTGCCCACGTGCTGGAAGGCCCCCTCCCAGGAGAAATACTCTCGAACCAGTGTCTGGGCCTCCTCGCTGCCAGGATCCAGTTTCCGCCACGTGTATGACTCGTAGTCCACCTGCCAATCTGGACTCAGCTGGGGATAAAAAGCCAGCATGTGGTCAAGTTATGAGACACCACCCCACACCTGTGTTACTTCCAGCTCAAACACTTGTCATCAGACCCCAGGTCTCCTGTGAATGTGAACTGCTCCTTCCTATAAGCATTCCTGAACTCTCCCCAACATCCATCGGCTCAGAAATAAAACATTGTGTTTCCTATATCCTTGCCCCACCCTAAAGAGACTCCTCTCCTCCACTGTCCTCACCGGAAAGGCAAGCTCCTGGCCTCGGAAGACCCAGACTCCAGAAATTGAGCTACTATTGTTGGTTCCAAAGAGGATGACACTGGCGAAGGCATTCTTCCTCAGCTTGTCCAGTCGCTGGAACATTCCTGAAGGGGCAAGAGAGAACATTCAGCCTTTGGAATCACAGCGCTCACTACACCTTGTTCTCCTTCCTCATCTCAGACCCACTGTCTTCTTACCAGTGATGAGATTGCAGCTCATGAAGGTCTGAGTGAGTTCTTCAGGGAAGCGATACTCTGAGTACCACAGGGACCAGCCGTCCTTATCAAAGTGCTCCCAGAAATATGGCAGTGCCACAGAGAGAGTGTCCTCATTGGAGTACTTGCGCTTAAATTCATCCAACACAAAGGTACTAAGAGGAGGAAGAATGCACAGGTCAGTAAGGAAGAGGGTTGCCAGGCTAAGAGAAGTGAGGGGTGCTTTCACTTAAAATTTACTAATTAATACAGTGATCACTGTGCTGGGAGATGTGTATGACCTTATGAGGGAAGAGAGCTCTGAGGGGTTTGAACAGGGGCCTAGGACACTCCTCTGCATAAGTATGCAAGGCATGTGGAGGGTGGAACTCCAAGAGGGGCTCAGGAGACCTGCCCCAGGAAGGGCATGGCTAACTGCTGCCCCCAGGTGGAGACATGAGGACTTTTTCTCCCTGTTCAGCCCATCCCCAGGAAGTTTTCCAAGAACCACACTTAGTCACTGACTCACCCAAGTCTCTATCCCCCACCATACAGGCCTCTTCAGGTTACACAAGCTGTAACAGGAATGTAAGCAGTAAACGTTCTCTAAGGGCCTCCACCCCAAATCTTACACCCATGTCCTTTAGTCCCTCTCTGCCTATAAACAAGTTTTCCGGTGTTTGGTCTTTTCTGAGGTTTTCTGATGCTGGAAAACCCTTAGGTTCAGGTTATCTTGGAAGCAATCTGGCACCCTGAGCCAAGAATGGCAGCATCAATACAGCAGAGGCCCCTCCATGATTGGTGCTCTATTTTCTTTCTTTCCAATTATAAACGTATACACCAGCCAGCACCCTCACACCAGCACTTCGGGAGGCCAAGATGGATGGATCACTTGAGGTCAGGAGTTTGAGACCAGCCTGACCAACAAGGTGAAACCCCATATCTACTAAAAATACAAAAATTAGCCGGGCATGGTGGTGCGCACCTGTAGTCCCAGCTACTCGGGAGGCTGAGAGAAGTGCATGAACCCAGGAGGCAGAGGTTGCAGTGAGCCGAGATCACACCACTGCACTGCAGCCTGGGCAATGAAGCGAGACTCTGTCTCTCAATAAATAAAAAAAAAAAACATGCTGTGAGGAAAATCAACTATAATGCCAACGAACAGGATAATCTTTTTATGTATTTTCCTATAGCCTTTGATTTTCCAAAGATGCAGCCCTGACATATGCAGTTTTGCCAGGCGCGGTGGCGCATGCCTGTAGTCCCAGCTACTCGGGAGGCTGAGGTGGGAGTATCACTTGAGCCCAGGAGTTCTGGGCTGTAGTGCGCTATGCCAATCGGGTGTCCACACTAAGTTCGGCATCAATATGGTGACCTCCCGGGAGTGGGGACCACCAGGTTGCCTAAGGAGGGATGAACTGGCCCAGGTCGTGCTGATCAGTAGTGGGATCCAGCCTGTGAATAGCGCCTGCACTCCAGCCTGGGCAATATAGTCAGACCCTGTCTCTATAAAAAAAAAAAAAAAAAAAAAAGACATATACAGTTTTGTGCCTTATACTTTGTTGTTACTGTGACATGCTATCCAGGCTGTTAAGAATTCTTCCAGCCTGGGAAATATAGAGACACTGCCTCTACAAAAAATTTAAAAATTGCAGATGCAGTTGCTGAAAAGAAAAAAATTAAAAAAATAAAAATTTGGCCGGGCACGGTGGCTCACGCCTGTAATCCCAGCACTTTGGGAGGCCGAGGCGGGTGGATCACGAGGTCAGGAGATCGAGACCATCCTGGTCAACAAGGTGAAACCCCGTCTCTACTAAAAATACAAAAATTAGCCGGGCATGGTGGTGCGCACCTGTAGTCCCAGCTACTCGGGAGGCTGAGGCAGGAGAATTGCTTGAACCCAGAAGGCGGAGGCTGTGGTGAGCCGAGATCGTGCCATTGCACTCCAGTCTGGGTAACAACAGCGAAACTCCAACTCAAAAATAAATAAATAAATAAATAAAAATTTAAGGGCCAGGCACGGTGGCTCACGCCTGTAATCCCAGCACTTTGGGAGGCCGAGACAGGTGCATCATGAGGTCAAGAGATTGAGACCATCGTGACCAACGTGGTGAAACCCCATCTCTACTAAAAATACAAAAAAATTAGCCAGGCGTGGTGGCACACACCTGTGATCCCAGCTACTCGGGAGGCTGAGGCGGAAGAATCACTTGAATCCAGGAGGCAGAGGTTGCAGTGAGACGAGATTGCACCACTGCACTCCAACCTGGCAACAGAGCAAGACTCCGTCTCAAAAAAATAAAAATAAAAATTTAAAAATTAGCTGGGGGCTGGGCACAGTGGCTCACACCTGTAATCCCAGCTACTCAGGAGGCTGAGGCAGAATTGCTTGAGTCCAGGAGGTAGACGTTGCAGTGAGCTGAGATCGCACCTCTGCACTCCAGCTTGGGAGACAGAGCAAGACCCTGTCAAAAAAACAAAATAATTCTTTGAACTAGCAGTCCCAGCTACTCAGGAGGCTGATACAGAAGGATCACTTGACATCAGGAGTTGGAGACAGGACTAAGAAACATAGCAAGACCCTACCTCAAAAAAAGAATTATTTGCAAACATTTTAATGGCCAAACAATCTTCTAACGCAGAACCGTGCCACAAATCTATTAAACATGGAACATTAAACTGAATGTTTACTTGGTTCTATTGTTTATAGCATAAATATTGCCACTAGTATCCCATTATTTCACTCAATCCCCCCCCGCTTTTTTTTTGAGATGGAGTTTCGCTGTTGTTACCCTGACTGGAATGCAATGGCACAATCTCGGCTCACCGCAACCTCTGCCTTCTGGGTTCAAGCAATTCTCCCACCTCACCCTCCCAAGTAGCTGGGATTACAGGCACGAGCCACCATGCCCAGCTAATTTTTGTATTTTTAGGAGAGACGGGGTTTCACCTCGTTGACCAGGATGGTCTCGATCTCTTGACCTCATGATCCACCCGCCTCGGCCTCCCAAAGTGCTGGGATTATAGGCGTGAGCCACCGCGCCCGGCCCACTCAATCCCTTTAACAAACCCATGAGTTATGAACTGTTACCTTGACCTCCCCTCTCTTTACAGATGAGACCAAGTAGAATGACCTGGCCAAGATTACACACCAGCAAAGCAGAGAATCTGTCCTTTAACCCTAGGTCCCAGGTTCCTTTTCAAAAGCATAAGAGACCTCACCTGAGGAGCCTTAAAACCTCAACCACACCAAAGTAGGGTGGGGAATTTTTTCACACCCTCCTGAGCTGTTCAAGCTTTATTATTTTTGTTAACAGGGTCTCACTTAGTCACCCAAGGGCAGTGGCACAATCATGGCTCACTGCAGCCTCAACTTCCTGGGCCCAAGTGATCCTCTCACCTCAGCCTGCCAAGTAGCGTGAGCCACCACACCTGACCTAGCTGGGTCTTAAAAGAACGAGAATTAAAATCTGGACATTGGCCTTTTAGGATATCACTTTTATGACATTAAAAATGCTGGGGGAGCCAGGTACAGTGGTTCACACCTGTAATTCTGGCACTTTGAGAGGCCACAGCAAGATCGCCTGAGCCCGGTGTTTGTGACCAGCCTGGGCCACATAGTGAGAACTAGTCTCTACAAATAATAATAAATTAGCTGGGTGTGGTGGTGTGTGCCTTAGTCCCAGCTACTCTGGAGGCTGAGGTGGGAGGATCACTTGAGCCCAGGTTGTCAAGACTATGGTGAGCCGTGATAATGCTACTGCACTCCAGACTGAACAAGAGTATAACCCTGTCTCAAAAAAAAAAAAAAAAAAAAGCTCAAGGAAAGCATTTCTGGCAGTCCTGTAGGGCATCATGGTAACCCAACAAATAGACACTAAGAAAATGTAGTTTATTAAATAAAGATTTTAAGCTTACTACTGCCTGATTTATTTTCTGCCCAGAGTACTGACCTACTATATGTGAAAATCTCTAGCTAATAAGTAACAACGTCTAAGTTACAACAGAATATCTAATTTGGGTTAGTCACCATGACCTATTTACACACACCAAAAATCCTGCTCACTCTTGACCTGCACCTGTGCTAAATTCAAGGCACATCACTAGTTCAAAAAATACACCTTTAAAGAGCAACTGCATCTGGATGGAGCCTTCCTGGTCTTGTACAAAGTACCTGGGAGTAAGAACTTCCGGCTACATCCCAAGTTGCTCCCATCCATTAGTGCAATGCTTGGAATTCACAACTCTATGCGTAGCTATTGTGTCCCTACCAGTGGGTGCTCCTTTAGGCTGGTTCACCCTGGATCAAAACCATCACAAAATGGGGGAGGGTCAAATGCAAACCGTACCAGAGCAAGCAGTGAAAAGATGGATGGCACCGGAAATTAGAGTGAGCAGGAAGAAAAAGTGCAGAGAAAGAGGAGTCCCAAAGCAAAGTGATCACAGAATATGTATGTCTCATGCTGCTTGAACTCTCAATAAAACGACTTGGGGCAGTGATGGAAGAAAGACTCCATACCAGAGAATTGGGCGAGCACTCAGTGTCCTACTTTCTTCACGCCAAAAATCTCGTCTTTATTATATTATTTCTTCCAAGAACCCCTATCTTTAACTGAAAAAGTTAAAGGATACAAAGGACTCCTACTTTCGCCTACTGAGGGACTTAACTCTCCCCAATTGTGGAAACGATGAACTACACAGATACTACTTAGCTACAATCTGCATCCTTTTTCTGAGCAATTTTTGTACAGTCTGATCCAGCAAAACAGAAAACAAAAAAATTCAAAGGACTCTGCTCCGGCACCCCCAGCTCTGCACAGCCAGCCATGCAGCACAATGCAAGGCTCTCGGCACCTTCTTCCCCACACCTCTCCCTGTATTTGTTCTCAGAGCCCTCAAATGGTTGAATGAGCTTGCTCAACACCAATTTACCACTACATCAAAATCTGCTCCTGTGTCTTTGTTGGAATAGGAGTTCCAATATTCCCCAATACTAGCTGTACTTGGAACTTGCTCTTCACATTCAAAATTTGCCCAATTCTTGATGATCAATCCAGAAAGCTGCTATATTTGCAACTGAAATATACCTTTAACTTTATATGAACAACCTAAAATCCTGGTTCCAGCTGTGTGTGAGGGGGGACATACAGAGGTGAGAACAGGCCTTCTTCGGTCCCACATCCTCCACTCTCAATACCCTTACCTTTTGGGCAGGTGAGCAAAGGGGTCTTTGGCCTTGGGCTCAGCAGCCAGCGCCTGCTCACATTCATCCATCTCCTCCTCAGGAGCAGGGGCAGCTGCCTTTTTTTCCTCCTTCCGCTCAGCCTGGGGTTTCTGCTTCTCTTCCCGTGAACCCTTCTCTTTCCGTGGTGTGTCCCTTTTAGGTTGGCTCTCTGCAAACTTTTTAGCTGGTACAGAGGAAGGGAGGAAAGTGGATGAATGTCCTGCCTCTTTCCACACCTCTCCAAAACCATGCAGAGCAAGCAGGGTAATAGAGAAAAACTGATGAATGGGACAAGTAAGGAATCTAGGCTCCAGACTGCCCATCAGTTAGCTACATGTCCTTGAGCAAGAACACAACCTCAGCAACAAATACTTTATGTTGCAACTCTATATAGTAATATAAATTAGTCAGGGTGAGTGTTTTGCACATAAGCAAGACAGAAAATCAAGGGGTTGATGCAGAGCAAACCAGATCCTGATCCTGGCCATGTGCCTCCTGATCTCCTCAGACTCACCATCAAACTGGGCCATCTTCTCACACAGTTTCACTTCCCCCAAGACAGCCCGGAACTGGGGCTGGTTAATGCAGGTGAGGAACCAGCGGTTGGTATTGGGAAAGGCCTGGCGGAAAGAAGGCTCTAGGACCTGCCAGGGCACAAAGGTGGAAACAGTCAGTGGAAAGACCCTGAAGAGTTCTGTCCAGGCGAGAGCCCTTTCTCTACCTAAGTCCCAGTGCTCACCTTCTTTACAAACATTAAGGAAAACAGCATCATACAACATCATCCTTCCCTGGATTATGTCCCATTTCTTTTTTTTTTTTCAGACAAAGTCTAGCTCCCTCTGTCACGCAGGCTGGAATGCAGTGGCACAATCTCTGCTCATTGTGGTTCACCTCCTGGGTTCAAGTGATTCTCCTGCCTCAGTCTTCCAAATATCCAAGTAACTGGGACTATAGGAGCCCTCCACCATGCCCAGCTAATTTTTGTACTTTTAGTAGAGAGTAGAGACATGGTTTCACCATGTTGGCCAGGCTGGTCTCGAACTCCTGACCTCATGTTATCAGCCCACCTCAGCCTCCTTAAATGCTGGGATTACAAACCTAAGCCACTGCACCTGGTCAATTTTTGTATTTTTAGTAGAGATAGGTTTCATCCTGTTGGCCAGGCTGTTCTCGAACACTGACCTCAAGTAATCTGCCCACCTCGGCCTCCCAAAGAGCTGGGATTACAGGTGTGACGACTGTGCCCAGCCTCTTTAAAAAATTTTTTTGTGACAGTCTTGCTC